TAAAATTGTGATCGTTGATAGTTTTTTAACTTCGGGAACAGAAAAAAATCCACATATTAAAATATTTATGTAAATATTTTATAGAAGGCCTTTTATAGAAAGTATTTCTTTTCAGTTCTTACCATTTTCGTAGTATGTACTTTTTTGTTTCTGGTTTAACCTTTTATTCAATTCCAATACTTTCGCCAGCATTTTTATAACTGCAGTAGCTATAATGGGTGTTAATAATGTGGGTAAGTATGTATGTATGAATGCAAATAATAAAATTGATGGAAATCCCTGCTAAAAATCAGCATAATATTGCCATACTATTGTTATACCTTCATGACTACATGCGCATAAATGAAGGTAAGTAAATTTCCTTCATTGGAGAGGGAAGTCTGCTATGAAGGCAATTCATTATATATTATTTTATTTTATTTGCTAATAAACTATGAAGACATCAGTTAAATACGTAAAAAAGACTTTCTAAATTATTAATTATTTATAATTGTTCAGTTGAGTTTAATTTATGCAGCTGTTAATTGATGAAGCCATATTCTATGATGTTGATGAATTTTGGCATATACGAGTAATAGGATATATGTAAGAAACATATTTGCCTAGTTTTTATAAGAGTTTATGGTTCAAATAGTTTAGTAATGCTTTAATAAAAATTTTGTTTTGTTATTAAAAAACTTACTTAATTTTGCATTGATTGTGCACCTGAAAATAAGAAAACCATTAATTTAAAAATGTTGCGTAAAATGTTTAACATAAATTTGTTTTAAAAATACTTAACTGAATGGTTTTAATAATTTGTTCTAATTTTTAATTTAAGTTTTTTAAAAAATATAACATTAATATAACTAACAACTGATCAAATAATATATACTGATATGCTATAAATTTTTAAAATTTTAAAAATGGTATTAGTAGTATAATCAATATTTACTCTAAATTGTTTAATAAGATAAACTTTATAGTTTATCTATAGTATATAACAGTACTATATAATCAAAATATATTTTAAATAATTGAATAAGTTATTGAATGTACAGGGTTAGAAGATTGAAGTGTCACCTATATAAGCAACTATATCTTTGTT